ACGAACAATGCTGAGACTCATAATATTCATACTGGTTGATGCGAACATTTGCACCATTTTAAGAATACAATGCTTAATTAAAATTTCAGCCATAAACGGCATAGTCCTCAATTGCCTAGCAACTTCATGCCAAATGAGATAGCAGGAAGGGAGCTAGATGATATAAACAGAAAAAAGAGAATCTGCTTCTGATGAGAGAAGGAACTTGGGGGAATATACTGTTAAGGATAAATTCTGCCAGATTGCCCTGATGTTTCATTTACCAGGATGTTAACAGATATCCAATATAATGAAGTGATTGTATTGAAATGCTAGACTTCACATGCATATGAAATTTAGGACTGTGATGAAAGCATTTTGCTGTCATTCCTATGGGAGATGTGCATCACAAATGCCGAACCAGAACCATGTAATAGCAAACCTAAGGTAGCACTGACCACAGGTGGTCTGGAAAATGCTTGAATATTTATGGAGAAAATATAAAAGGTCCATTCTGCTAGTATACCATATCCTCTAAACTTCAGGGCAAAAAGATTCAAGCTATGCTGTTGTTTTTGTGAAAATTGTAACACAATTGTCTTGACTCCTATCTCAATTTGTACCAGCACTCAGTTGCTCAGAAATAATCAGATTTGTTCTCTAAACTTGTCTATGGGTGAGCATGGAGATAGCGAGGCTATTAGTTAAAATACAGGATGCTGCTTGGGGAATGTAACTCTGATTTTCTTCCCTGAGACATTATTATGAGAAGTAAGTATATGGAGCACATTTTATACTTAGTTTTATGATATATATTTAGTTCTCACTAATCAAAACAGAAGGACCCAATTGTACATGGAAGACTGTGGGATTTGAGAATATTTCTGAGGCAGAGAATCCTATTTTCATTGCACCACAGTGTTAATTCTGTAAGATCAGTGCAGAAAACAGAGATAGGAGAAGCTCTCTTTTTCAGACAGGTTTTTTTCTTCTTTTTAGTTACCCCACCCTCAGACAGTGCTTAAGTATATGGGATTGCTTCTTTACATGAGGATACCTTTCACAGTAAAAAAGGACACGTTCTGTTATATCTTGCTAGACGGAAGTGAGAATTTCCCTGATAGTGCAGAGAATCATTGAGTTGATGAATTTTGAGTTTTGATGGAGACTGTCAGAAAATAGGGTAATCATTTCTAGCACATAACAATGAGAATGGTTGAAAGGTGAAAAAAACAAGCTAGATAATTTCAGAGAAGTCCTTGGAAATTAAATTAAAAAAAAAAAAAAAAAAAGCCAAAGGAGAAAATAAGTATGATATGGGAATTTCTTATAAACAGAAGTCTGAGAGATGGTTACTGGTTCCCCATTATAATCCTTGTTTTTTCAAGGGCTATAACTGACAGTTTTAACGTTTTTCTGTATATGCAACTTGAAAAACATTTCAAGGATGATAATCACCTTTTACTTGTCAAAGAGACTTTAAAATAATTTGATAAGAGAAGCAGTGTGAATTAGTCAGTTGAAGCAGTTATCCCCCAAACTTCTAAAAAAGTAAGTCTATTTACTTTTCTAAACATGACTATGAGAGTCTCAAAAAAACCCTAAAAAAACAAGCAAGTACTAATAAATTCAATTTACATGGAACAAACTAGACAGCTATTCTTATTTCTATACATCTTTGAACAAAGCTTCTTGCTTTTATGAATTAGGTTTTAGTTCTTTCTTATCAACAGTTAGAAAAAACCCCAAACCCCAGATGTCAGAAACATCAATTATAATATATTGTACTTTAACTACTTTAACTGTTAATATATTGTAACTTTTTTGTTAGCGCATAACATTTTTTTGGGTACTTGACACAATAAATACCTATAAGTATCTTCAGGATAGGTTTTTTGTACATAGTCCTGCAATTCCATCTGTGCCTTCTCCTGGAATTTTTCTATTTGGGTTGAACTGGTCAGACCAGGGTGATCTAAGGAAACAAAACATTTCTGTATGTTGATTGTTTCCCTATACATTGTGAAATAAATATAAGACTCTCGCATTTAATTTCAATGAAATACTTCTATAGTATTGTGATGTTTAACATGCTATCTGTATAAAGGAAACAACTCAGGTGAACACTTACTTCCTGGCTTCAGAGTTAGCTTGTTCACTTTTCTGTCTAGAGCTGTGTGTATCCATAAGAAAGTGGACAAAGATTAAAACCTGTATGTATGTACCAGGCAATGACACAGAATTTGTTTTTAACTTGGCTTGTTTAAATGTAAATATGTTCGCCTCTGTGATTTGTTATAACTAGGCTGGCTAAGCAGCATCTAGGGTTATTTTCTTGATAGATCAATGTCTTAATCTTCCCAAGTCTGTCTCATGTTTTAATTCCAGCTGGCTCAGGTCCTCAGACAGCCACATGATCAGAGCAAAAAAAAAAAGCAAACCCACAAAGTATCTATATTACTATGCAAAAATATCTTCACTCTTGTGTCCAAACTGCTTGTCTCTTGAAATAGGACAGAGCTACCTTGAGGTTCTATGGTTTCTTGCTTTTACAACTCAAAAAAAACCCCTAATAAACCTAACTCTAATGGGACATTCTCCCCCAAAAAATTCAAAATAACATTTCAGGACACCAGTATCTTCTAATTAAGTTTTATTACAAAGAGAAAAATAGTTATCAATGCAAAAAAACCCAAGAAAATATACCACTAACAATATATCCTTTTACTTTGTATTCTGGTAAATACCTTTAAATTAAAATAAATAATAGGCATTTCTGAGCAAAACTTTCCCTTTTACTCAGCTTGTCAACAGTTTTAGATTAATTTTTGTGTGCCCTAGACACATTTGCCACCTTTGCTGAAAAGACTGTCACTTCCAATTTCTTGAATGTCCTTACCTAATCATTCCAGAAAATCTCAAGTGTCTTTTTTGAGTAAATTTGCATATTTCAGAAACACTTGACTATTCTTTAGTCATCTGTTGTCATTTTTTTGGTAACAAATGGAAGACACCCTGTTCACATTCAGTTTTTGAGATTTTGTGCAAGTTTCATATAATATAGGTATTTTTGCTCATATTTCAGCTATTCTTTTTATGAGTGTATTAAAAATACTAAAATTGAAGCAAAATTCTTTGTTTCACTAGGAGAATGCATTTCTTCTAATCCTCCTCACCATTTACCTCACTAATATTGCTAGTACACATTCCAGATAATTTATTACTCATAGATTCTCAGCTGAAGGTAACTTGAGAATCTAATCTTCTAGGGTGCATATACAGGAAACACCTAATAGATTTGAACTGTAAATAATATAAATATGTTGCTCTGAAGTTATTTTAAAACACATCATGTGGTAATCATTATGAAACAATTTTATCTGCAGTTTAACAGATGAGTCTCATCTCAAGACATTAGTCTAATTTAAAAAATCCTAAAGAATTCACATATTAAGGCTTTTTATTTAAAAACATATGGTTACTAAAATCCTTACCAGGGCTAAAAAGGACTATAGCCTTAAGGTATGCATATTCATATCCATCAATATCAAGCTTGGCCATGCTGTTACAGAACTCTTGAAGTTTCCAGATGTGTTCCATGACTTGCTTTATTCTTTCTCCAGAAAGTTTATCTACAAAAATATATTGCTTACTATTTCATCTGAGCTCAAGCATTTCTAATATATTAATAAACAAAGTTTTATAAACCAAGTCAAGTGATATTTGCAAGTCTTCTGCTGTCTTAAAACCATGTAAGGATGGCCTGAATTATTATGAGTGAATTCATAAAGTTGAGTCAGACCCAGGGCTAGCAAACAGAATGTTAACTCTTTTGTGCAGTTTGGCCAGGACAGCATAATCTGCCACACCAGACTTTCCAGTGGTGTACTGTTCTGAGCAGAGACTCTGAAATTATGGTGCATTATTCTATAAAAAAGCAAATGCTAACATGCAGCCCTAATTTTAAATTCAAACATTATTGAATTAGCATTTCCAAAAGTGAATACAAGAACAGTAATGACAGTGCTACTTTCTCCTCTATCTGTACTTTTAGGAGTGAACTTTTCATTAGCTATGATAGCTAGTCTTTTTCCCATCTGATGGAGTAAATTCACTGAAATACACATACACAGATTCTTCTATCATTTGAAAGATCACAGTCCTTATATTGGGTTCATAATCTAACTTAAAATTTCCATTTAAAAAATATTTTTTATTTATAGATATGTTACAAGTGAGCAGTATTGGCTGCTAAACTAGGAAGGGAGAGATTTCTATTTTGGTAAATAGAAATCCTTGTATTGGACTGCATATCTACAAACTAGTCAAGGAATAAAAACATTAAAGAATACATTAAGACAAATTTTTGAATATATGATTACTATTATCAAATTTCAGAAGTAAGTCAGTTCACAAGGGATAAAACCTTTTCTTGAAAAGCACATTAGAATAATTTCATTCCAGTCATAATCTCCAAGTCTAGTATTTAATATAATTTTAATTTGAATATTTTATTTTTCATTTTACTTAGACCTCAAGTGCCTTAAACTGAATCTTTGACATCGTTTATTACTATTTTATCTATTTTCTGAAACTGCAATGAGAAGATTGAATGAATGGGAGAACCATTTTTTGCACAGTCTTGAAATAAGAATGAAAGCATAATTTACATTTCTTAAATCATTAATTGTGATACAAATTTTTAGTTACTCAAAATGGATGAAGATGGACATACTTTAATGTTTTTATTCCTGTATTAAGTGGGAAAATATGGTCCAGAAAAAGTCAGGAAAAGCAAACTTGAATTCCAGAGTTTCTAAGTAGCCTCATCACTAATATGTTCCTAGATAAAGTTCTGAAATTTCTTCACTTTGTTTTGAAGGTATAATGCACAATATAACATTATAACTTCACAGTTAAATAACACTAATGATCCTCTTTTCTTGGCTGGTCTCAACTAACACAGTATGGCTGCAAGTACAGATTATAGAAAAAATTTTTTTTTTCCAATTTTAATTCAGGAGAACAGAAGTGGAACCAGCTGTAAGAGCCCTACCACTTACTCCTCCCCAAAGTCTACTGCCTGGAATAGAGGTGAGATAGACAGCTCTGTGTATTCTGAAATGGATATAAAGTAAAAGCCTAACTCTGCAGAGAACATCCAATGTTCCCCTGATGCAGGTTTCCCTGCTGATCTTTTGCCTCTCTGTGCAGGAAAGGATCAGCACACTCTGTTGTATTTTGGGACTGTCTGGGCTATCTTAAATGAGAAAACAACAAAACAAAACAAACAAATGAACCAACAAACAAAAAACCAAAACAAGAAAAAACCTTATATTCATTATAAAAGCAATTAAAGCATACTATCCACTTAAGAATCAAATTTCAGTCTAATTTACTTTATCACGATGAAGCTAATAAAGGAGATTGAACTTGATTGTAGAAGTATAAAATGCACAAAGCAGATAGCTGGAAAAATATTTAATATCCTTTAGCTCTAGAAAAATACATCTGTTTTACTCTCCGCAGTAAAAACCTATTTTCTAACTTTTTCTCTGTGCACAATAATGACACCATAAAAAATTCCAAAAAAATGGTACTAAATAGTATTCTGTAACTGCTTCTAATGCAAATTTAAATTTAAAGTAGTTTTCATGTATTATGCTCCATTTGCAGAGTCTAAAGCTGCTAGTATTGTTTTCTTCCTCCTTTTAAAAATAAATATTATTTTCATGCTAATCAATCCAATTGATTGAAAGAATCTTTAAAGAATGAAAAAAAAAAAGCAATCATAACAGATTTTCATCCTTTCTAAATAAAATCATCACTATCAACAGACCAACATTGAATTAAAAAATAAAATTACATACGACTTGTTAAGAATGTCAAGAAATTAAGTTGCTTAATGGTTCAAAGATGCTTCAAAATACATTAATCATTACTGCATTACAGTAGTATCCAAAATCATTATACTTGCAAGAATATGGTTGTTATAGTAATTGGCAAACACTGTGTTTTTACACTGCAAAGAGAAGAAAGTTCCAGAAGGAAAAAGTCTGGTATAGTTTGGAAGAGGATACCATTATTCTCTGAGGAAAAAACATACATCTGGATGGGAAGAAAACTCAGAGCACATCCAAGGAGTATTTTAGGATGTACTGTCTTTTTCTGTAATGTCAGTCAGGCATAGAAGACCCCCTTGCCTCTATGGACATTTGTAACCCACAGATATCACTGTGAGGTCAGTGCAACAAAATTGTAGATCACCAGGGGAAAGACAATTATGCAAGAGAAAGGTTCACCTTCCCCTGGTTCCTGATGAACAATTCTGCCACTGATGGGGAAACACCTGGTGAGCAATTTTATCCAAATGTCCCTGTACTGTTAGCAATACTGGTAACATACCTTCTTGTATGCTGTTCTGGAGGTGGTTGACAATCGCTCCTAGGATGGTAGACAGACTCATCACCTGTGCACACTGCGCCAGGCCTAAAGTAAACAGCTCGTTCCAGCAGGCACGCACAAGGCTCGTATTGCAGTCCTGCCTATAAACAGCAGAAAATCAAACAATGCGAGGTTTGCATATCAGCTTGTTATTGCCCTATGTATAATTATGTATAACAATTCATAATAAGGATTAATCTATTGCAAAACATTTTGGTAACAGGCGTATATTAGCATATTACAAGTATTTCAAGAAGCAAAAAGAAATTATAGACTATGGAAAGTAATTTTGCATTATCTGTGAAACGGTGCTCATCGATTCTTTAATAAGGTATCAAAAACAAGTATTAAATTTCTACAAATTAATGCTTTCTTTTGATTTGGCTTTATTTTTGGTAACCACAGTACTATCAGATATTGTAATTAACCTCCCCTCTGCCATCTTCTATTTTATTCTTTAAAACAGGGAATATAATGTAGTCTTCACACATTTTAAAGTATTCATTAAAAATTAAACAATATCATAACTAGAAAGTTAAAAATAGCTGGGATGTGTTCAGGTCAGTGATTAAATTCATTCAAAAGCAAACCATTCAGATAGAGTATGTCCATTTACCCAAGAGCTTGAAATGCAGGTATGGACCTAGCCCAGTGCATAGAGAGGAAAAGGAGTCGTGATGCTGACTCACAGATGTAGTGTACATTAAGGTACTCTGGCATCGGACTGGGCATTGTCAGCTGCAAAAAATAAAAGTACAGTACAATACATAGAGTTCAGACATAAACCAGTTTTTATCATCAATGAAATAACTGGCAAAAACATTCAAATTACTCTCATAGTCCATCACAACAGTGTGACAAGAAGTTGTCAAAGGAAAACTCTACTCATTACTCTGGCAAGGAATGCACATTGGGAATACTAGGCAAGAAATTATGTAGTAGCTCAGACATTTTAAGCATTAGTCTGTTTACTAAGACATTTAAAGAAGCACATACCTTAAATGTGACATGTGTATCTGTAAGTAGGGGTCCTTCCACTTCAATAATTGGTGTTGACTGATCTCTACTGATTACATGAATATTCCCTCCTCCTGTAGGATCCATCCCATCTGCCAAGTTATGAGGTGTTGTACCATCTGTGGTATTAAGTGCTTTAGCCAAAGTATCAAACGCCCTAAAAAATAATAAGTAAGTAAACAATGAAAGAGTGCTTGTTTAGATCTTAAAAAATTCACAGTGCTCAAATTTAATGCTATAAAACATTTCCATTTAGAGGTAACATACACAAGAACTCTTTTGGCTGACACAAGGTCAGACTTTCATTATAATTTGGTCCCTCTGTTCTCTTTGGGCCTTAATAAGACAAATAGCCCACATATTGCTGGTAAAAGATCTCCCCTGTAAGGGAAGGATTTCGTACTGTAAATCCCGCTCTGACAGTTTTATCCTAGTATTTGTACTAGTAGAGGGGCCTTGTGCTGTGCTGGTTGTGGCTGGGATAGAATTCATTTTCTTCACTGTAACTAGTATGGGGCTGTGTTTTGGATTTGTACTGAAAACAATGTTGATAATATAGAGATGTTTTTATGCACAGCAGTGTTTGCACAGTGTAAAGGCCTTTTGTTGCCGCTTCTTGTCCTCCCTGCAGTGAGGAAGCTGGGCATGCACAAGTTTGGAGGTGACACATCCAGGCCTGCTGACCCCAACTGACACAAGGATTATTCCATACTTTATGACGTCACACTCAGTATATAAAGAAGGGGTAAGAAAGAGGAAGTGGGGGGATGTTTGGAGTGATGGCCTAGGTCTTCAGAAGTAACTGTCAGACGTGCTGGAGCCCTGCTATCCTGGAGGTGGCTGGACACCTGACTGCTCATGGAAGGTAGCAAATGAATTCCTTTGCTTTTGTATGTGGCTTTTGCTTCACCTATTAAACTGTCTTTATCTCAACATACAAGTCTTTTCACTTTTACCCTTCTGATTCTATCACAAGTAGATATCCCACCTCACTGGTGGGAGAGTGAGGGAGTGGCTGTGTGAGGCTTAGTTGTCCGCTGGGCTAAAACCACAACAGTCTTCTTGCACTTTCCATTCGCTATTCCCTATTCTCACAGATTCAGTGAGGATTACAGACCAGATGTACTCTGAAGAACAAAGTTCCTGTCTTTGTCCCCATCCTTGATCTCCAGGTTTTTGGAACAGTGGAGAACAGTGTGTTTTTCTTCTAGACAAAATTATATATGCCTGAATTTCCTTTCCCTTAAGCCAGGCACTCCTGATCTCCCAGTATAGATAGACAGAGCCTTAAAAACTTTATGACAGTAACAAGAGAGATTGGTCCCTGGCCTCCTTTATACTCAAGCTGTTGCTGGATCATTACCCAAATAAATCACTGTAAATTCTCTTAGGATTAACAGAGCTTAGATGTAAAGAAGAATTTTGTGTCCCACTTTCATACCAGTGGACAGTACTATGGTATAGTTCTCCTTTGCCACTTTTTTGTCAAGATGCTTTTTTGCGAGAGGGTTTTTTATTTTTTATTTTTTTTTTCTCTTTAAAGAATGAGTAAGAGGTTGACATAAGGTGACATTGCAGTGTCAAGTATTTTAAAATATGAATTCACTTCACTTGAAAGACTTAAGAGCCGTAATTAATATCCTCTCTCTCTCTCTTCCTGCCCCCCCCAAAAAGAGATATCTTCCAGTCGATGTAGTGGGCAGTAAGGTCTGGTATTTGTTTATTGTCAGGGGTTTTTCTGTGTAAATCGTTTCTTTTCTTATATATTTTGTTACCAATATTGTTGCTATTACTGTTTTATTTTGCTAATACTGTTTGTTTGCTAATCTCCTTGCTGTTTCCAGTAAATTGTTCCTATTTCAACCTGTGATCTCTGCCTTTTGTGCCTCTGACTGGAGACGGATGGGGAGCATGTGGCAGCATAATTCAAGTGTGAACATTAAATTGGAGAATACCATTACTAAACCATGACCGTTAAGCTCCTCCTAAAAATCTCCTTTTTGAGAAACAGTGAACAGTTTTGACTCCAAGTATTTATCTTATTAACCTATACTCCTAAATTCAACTAACCCCCTTCCCCTGCACAGAAAACACAACCACAACCATCCAACAAAAAAAAAATCCTGGTCTTGAAAATCTCAAGCTGTGCTGGAAATTTTAATATTCCATGCTCCTTTTTCATATATTTTTCATTAATAAAGAAAAGAAAGACTTTAAACTCTTTCTAAATCTACATTACCAGGAGATTTTATGGCAGCACAATCTCAAAAATAAATCTGCAGTAATGCAGGTCCCTAAAGAGCAGGGCTAAAGGCACAAACATTGCACAGAAGAAGCTTACATAAAACACACCTGTGAAATAAAATAACACTGAAATGTTGCTGTTCTCAGAGTCTTTCAAGGTCACAAACTAGTAATTTTTTATTTTTCTGAGAACCAAATCTAGTCTAGCTTCAGAACACTACATTTGTAACACTGGACAATTTTTCACAAGAGGGCAACAGTCAAAACTGATTTCTAAAGAACTGTGTTTGTGTTTCAAAGTAGGAGCAATCTGGCAATCTGTACTGTGTCTGGTGTAACAATGCCAAATTCCTTTATAATGAACGAGTGTAAAGATACACCACATAGAACACAAATTACTAAAAAAGGTATAAATATAAATCCATACCGTGTAATCTCACTTGCAGATTGCTCTTCTTGTTGAACTTCAGAAGTATCTCCATTATTTAGTGACTCACTGAGATTAGCAAGAGATGTTACAACATTTGCTAGTGTTCCTAAGGCACCCTGGCTTGTTTCAGCCTAAAAAGGAAGCAGTATATTAGTAAATCAAAATTACAATTAATATATCATGTATAATTTCCCTCCATTTTTGATCTTTCTTCTTTTTCCCCTACGCAACTTGTCCTTCCTCCTGAATACCAGGAAGAACAATGGCTCTCAATTATCTTTAAATCCTGTTCTAATTATTAATCCTAGGCCCAGATGAGACATCATATGGAGAACTACCTGTGGCTGACCTTTTGCAGAAATATGCTTTCCAAAATAAACCATGATCCTATTGATCTATTTATTACACTCATCTATAGGGTTCTTCACACTTATCACAGCCTTAGGTTCTCAAGAGCAACAACGATTTGAGACTATGTACAACAGATAAAGTAATCTGAACAAATTAATAGATATGCTCAGAATTGAAATGAGACAGTAATACCTTGGAATCAGCAGCTAGGAGGACTGTACCATCATCCCTGATCAAAGGCTGCTGAATATTCACAAGCATTCCTGGATCTAGAAGACCAGCTGACCTGTTCAAAAGCATAAGGCACCCGATGGTCAACAATATTTTCCATTAATCAGAAGAATGTGTAACAATTTACAACACCATAAAAAGAATTATCAGTTTTTAAATAAACAATTTCATGAAGCTTACAGTTTATTTATCAGGACTTAAGTTCTTCTGAAACAGTTCCCAAAAAGTAGCTTGAAAGACAGAAATATTTTTTAATTTCCAGTGTAAAACAATGGCAACTTCCTAAATGTGTATCTTCTCATTTGCTTTTTTTGTTCTGGTTTAGTCTGCTTTAAGGAAAGTTGTTGTCTTCTTATGTTCTCAGAAGTCACCTAGTAGCTCTAGTTTTATATTAGACTTTGGAGGAAGGCATAACTCTGTATTCCAAACAAGACAATGGCCAGCACTAAATAAAAGTCATTAAAATATTTAATTTTACATTCCAAAGTATAGTCAGAAACAGTAATGTAATCAAAGTCTGCATAAAATCTCTGCTGCCTTTACTTTTGCTGCTTTTTGACCAAATGTCCTTCCCCTCTGCTGTATCTAATTTAGGAAGACAGTGGAAAGTCTTTGCAGTCAGCAAGGAGTTTATTTACTACTTATGTGATGCTCCAAGTGTCCATAACACAATACCAATGCACACAACACAGCTGCAGGCTGCAGGACGTTACAGTACAAGGGGTCTGATATGAACAGCTATCATTGTGAACAAGCACAGGCTTGTTGACAGGCTTGACACAGGCACCCTGACCTTAACCCTAACCCAAATTATCAAGCATTTTGCAAATATGAATCCTACATAAATAACAGTGGTTCTTAATGACTATAGTATTGTTTATAGGTCTGTAATAGATCTGTAGCTCAAGGAAATTTCTAAGAAGCAAATGTGTCTGTGAGTGCTTCTTTCAAACAAGAACACTAAAAAACAATTTTCCAAGAACCCTGCAGCCCAAACTTCTTAACTGCAGTGTCATTTGTTCAACAAGGAATATGTACATAAAAAATTAAATGCACACACTTCCCCCCATATGAAAACTGAATAATAAAATCCAATTTTTTATGTGGTTCTCAACCATTCATAAACTATTTTTAAAAATGTTGTATTTAACCTAGACTTTTTCTATTCTATTCTATTCAGAAAAAAGTAATATTGCCTTTGTTTGTAATGATGTGCATTTTCACACCCACTGCCTAAGGACACATCTGAGAGTGCAGGAACCATTTTGAAGTAACTTCCGTATGGTAAAAAGAAGCTGCTGTTTTGGTGTTGTTGAAATCAGTCTCTTGGGATCTGAATCAGCAGCCACTGAGTCTCCCTAACTACTGTCTTTAGGAGATGGAAGCCCAAGTCTGTCATTTGCAGATCTGATATCAGAAAAGTGCTAACCTGAATACATCACACCATTAGCCTATATGCTTTCTGTTTGAATATCATTCATTTGCTTTGCATTGCTCTGACCTGGCTGGAGAAGAGCCAGCTCTGAACTGAAAACCACGTACCTGTATGCAGACATAAAAACTTTCACAAGAAGCAGAACCTACACTGACCTTGGTAAAGGAAACAGATGATGTGTTCATTAGAACTCTTTTCTGTTCCTCTGAGAGCAGAGGGGAGAAGTAATATAGGTGTGACTGAAAAGCAACATGCACAAATAATATGAAAAGGAATGTGTGGAACTGAGCTACTCACCGCGTCCCATCTTTATCTGCCACAAATGTTGGAGTTGCTATTAGAGGGCTTCGAAGATCTTTTCTTATATAGATTTTTTCAGTAGAAGCGGCACAGTTGGCTGGTTTTTCACGCTGCACATCAAAAGGCTTTCTTTCACTTTGAACTGCTACATAAAGATAGAGACATACAGATTTGAAAGGAAATAATTCAAACAAAAAAATACAAAAAGTAAGTAAAACTCCTGCAGTTATGATAGCATAACAGCTCAGTGCAAAACTGGAAATTTAATACCAAGAGTGAAGAAATGCAGGCCCCCACGTTACCATATCTGTGAGTATGTGGATTTTTAAATATACTTTTAACTAGAAAGTCACAGATTGATCTTTTTCTTCAAGTTTTTCTGATCTGGAATAAAATATTGCTCTTTTTTTTGGCATTTGATAAGATGGAAGATTCTACAGATTGTTTTCAATTTGTTTAGTTTTGGTTTTTTTTAACAGGCGTAGATATATCTAAATGTTAGGCACATTCCTATTCTGGATGACATAAAACAATGCAAACAAAGAAGGAACCCTGAAAAAGTCAAGAGAGGCAAGTTACTTGAGATGCAGGTTAATTCCTTGAAAGGATACTCTCTGTATGACATACACTTCACTCACAGCCATTAATTTCACCCAGTTAGGGAAGAGTGTTTCAAAACTAACCCCTTCATAATCTAAGTATCTATACTCAAGAATTGAAACAAACTAAATTCAGTCTCTGAAATGCCAAACAAGTGTAGCAAATTTTTTAATAAAAATACTAAGAAGCACTTACTTTGTAACTTTTAAAGAATGTGAAAAGTACATCTTTATTATATTAAAATGTTATTATTAAACATATTACAGAAACTTATCCTTATAACCAGCAAGTTACTTAGTTCCTGATTTTGTTTTTGCTAGTATTGTTACTATTAGCAAAATGTAGGGGCTTAAAAGCTGTCATATCAAATTTATTGGCTTGGTGAATACATATTAATTTATCAGAAGCCTGACCCAAAGTCTGTGAAGTCAGTAAACATATACCCTAATCATATTGGGATAAGAAAGGTTTATTTCTGGAACTGCAGCAGTTTTTCTTGTACAAACATCTCATCTTGTATTCAGCACATTGTGTGCAAAGCACCAGAATCATCACAACAGGTCTGGAGTTTTAGAGTGCAAATACAACAATTATGTCCCTATTTACAGCTTAAAGTACTGCCTCCCTTGAACTCAGTGGTTGGAACTTACCACGATTAGATCAGATCACAAAACAACCTAGTAACTGTTTCACATAGTGCTAAATTGAAGAACAGGTGATACAAACTGAAAACAAAAATATATTGAAACAAGTGTTTCGCTGCTAGCGCTGGAAATGTATGAAGTACTGCATACAAACATGAAAGTATATTTTAAAACATATGACAGTTTATACAATGCCCCATAAAACACTGCTCACAAATTATCAAATTAACATAAAAATTCAAAAAGAGGGAGAAAAAAAGACTAACTACTTTATACCAGTGGTTGAAAAAGCTGCAAAAATAAACTGGAAGGAAAGCAGATTCTCAAAACAGAATACTAGATTCATGTCAATCCATGTCAAAGTATTTTCTATTATGAACGTACACTGTGTTTGGAACATGCATTCTAAGTGAGGCTGTAACTGGGCTCATCAAAGACAACACTACTTGGAGACATCATTCAAAACAAACCACTACTGCACCTCAGACATAAAATGGTGATGAAAGAAAGGTGCACTAGATGCTGCCAAAATGTTCTGTTTCCTTCAAGCAACATATCCCAAAACAGAGAGAACACACTAACAAGTGGTAGTCCACATAACTGTTATTTGGTAGGCACAATATCACAT